TACTCTAACCATCGGCACTTATATGATTTAATCGTGTTGCGAATGCCGTAAAACGCTTTCTAAAGCGAAAAAAAAATCTTTGCTCAAGCTCAGTCTATTTATGAGTCCACTTACCATTAACGAGAACACTCACCATTGAGAACACTCACCATTAACGAGAACACTCACCATTAACGAGAACTCTCACCATTAACGAGAACACTCACTATTAACGAGAACTCTCACCATTAACGAGAATAACGAGAACTCTCACCATTAATGAGAATAACGAGAACTCTCACCATGAACGAGAACTCTCACCATTAACAAGAACACTTCCCGTTGTGTTTCCAGAGTGAACCGGAGACGGCCAAGAACTTGGTTCACCTCATCTCGGAGGCTGAAGGGGAGTACCAGCGAGCTCTTTCAGAAAACTACCAGACAATGTCTGACACCACCTTCAAGGCCCTCCGTCGCCAGCTGCCTGTCACACGCTCCAGGATAGACTGGAACAAAATTTTGGGATACAAGATCGGTGGCGACTTGAAGAGTAATAAAGGCGAACAGTATGATTGAATGTACTTGTACTTTGAATTATGGTTCAATTTCTTTCCGTGAACTCTGTTGATTTCAGGAGGTATGGTTTTGGAATGTCTTGTCTTTTCTGTCATATTTGAGATGCATTCATGTTTGACTTGGCAGGGGATCCTCACAGCCGATGTATTGCTTCATTTTTGTTGTCTTCTGTCCTTTTCCCCTCCACTCCATCTATAGGCATGAACATAATTAGCTTTGTCACGTCTCACTGCTGTCACGGGGTTAGCTGACTCCTTTTTTTTCTTTTTTTCGGAGTTCTCGTGCCCTAAGAATGTTTGCTACAGAAATTTTTTGTTTTTCTCCTTGTCCGGTAACATATGGCGCAAGTCTTGGTCTGTAGGCTCGTCGCATTCCTCTGTAGCGAAGAAACTTCTAGAAATGTTAGGGAAACAAGAGAAGGAGAGAAGGGAAGCGGAGAGGTCTATAGAGAAGGAGAGAAGGGAAGCAGAGAGGTCTATAGAGAAGGAGAGAAGGGAAGCGGAGAGATCTATAGAGAAGGAGAGAAGGGAAGCAGAGAGGTCAAGAGCTGCCCTCAGCTGTGAGATGCCGAACTATCCATGTTGTTTTTGTGTGTACCTTTACAGCGTGTCTGTACGTGGAAGAACAAAGGCTTGCCCTGACATGATCAAGATTTCCTGGGTGTCATTTGAATTTGGAAAAGTGTTTGGGGAGGGGGGGGGTGATATTTCTGTACAAAGCTTGCCCATCGCTGGTGACCCTTTTTATTTTCTGTTTGTTGGTGTTCTACTTCCGTGGTGCGTGAATGAATCAACTGCTTGCAATGTTTGATTCCATGAAATGCTGGAGTATTTGGTCATGAGGAAACAAACAATGCTCACCACACCACCTGTTTTTGCCAAACTTTTTCTTGTCTTTTCCATTGGACGATTTATTGACCTGGTTTTTTTCCCATCCCCTTTTTCTTGTCCTTTTGTCCTAATCGATTTGACTATAGGTAGGTGGGCGTACATTTGAACTGATCTAGAGACATTCATAGAAGCTTCTATTCTTCTTCTCTCCCC